AAACCCTAAAACCCTACACCCCTAAAGCCCTAAACCCCAAAACCCTGAACCCTAAACCCCTAGACCATCCTTGGGCCCTAGACGAAATCTGAAACACCTTCCTCATCCCCGTGCTTTTTTGTGGCTCTTGGAGGCCGCTTAGACCCAGTGTGGCCAAACTACCTTAAGGGTTTAGGGGTTTAGCGGTTTAGGGGTTTAGGGGTTCAGGGGTTTGGGGTTTAGGGCTTGGGGGGTTTAGGGGTTTAGGGGGTTGAGGGTTCAGGGGTTTAGGGTTTTAGGGTTTGGGGTTTAGGGGGTTTAGGGGTTTAGGGGTTTAGGGGTTTAGGTGTTTAGGGGGTTTTGAGGTTTAGGGTTTAGGGGGTTTGGGGTTTAGGGGTTTAGGGTGCGAAGGCGGAAACGTCTATGTGAATGTAGACCTCTGCTTGCAAATACCTTGCCCCTGGGCAGGGATCTGCACAGGGATAGCATGACGAATATTAGGTCCCTTATGGCGGGTATTTGTCATGGTTCCAGAATCACCTTAAATCCCTTGCTAAACATCTAAACAACCCTTCTATTGTTCAGTAGGTCCAGCAGACAGCCCTGAGAAGAGCCAGTAAAGCTCTCGGAAAGCCTTTTACAGCCCTCAGCAACACCCCCGGAACCCCTGTATAAGAAAACCCTTTAACGCACCCTGAAGACCCACAATAAAAACCTTGGGTGGAGGTGGCCACATACTGGTCCAAGGAGGAGCCGAGCAACGATGGTGTCCTCGGTGGCTCCGGTTTAAGGTTTCAGGTTGTCAGCTTAGGTCTTTTGAGATTGGGGTTTAGGGCTTAAGGGCTCTTTGGGTTTAGGGTATTGCAATGCAGTAGAGATGGGTATCATGTGCTACTCGCAGGATGACAGATAGCATCTTCGTAGCTGAAACATACCGGCGCGCAGTGATACCGTGCGCGCTCGGCTCAACGTCAGATGAAGTTCTCCTCGTTTCTTCGGGCGCTTTGGTGCACCCTTGGTCGGCGGCCCTTCACACAGAATTAGTAAATGTTCTTGGACGGGCGACATAATTAAAGGTCCTTTTATAACAAAGAGTGCATGCGCGCAAGCGTTTTTTCCGCACGCGCAGGAGTTCGACATGTAGAACTTGGACGCAGCCTTCAGTTCTCCCCAGACTTGCTACCTATTCGGACGACTATGACTATACTGGTAGCACTCCAACAGATCCTTAACAAGTAAACCCTAAACCCTTGTAAACCTTAAATTGTATAAATCCCTAGTAGAGCCTAAACCCTAAACCGAAGCATTGGAAAGCCCTGGCGGTCTCAGGTGGTCTCTCGGAGACGCATGAGCCTGATTTGGCAACCTCCCGACGCTTCCTCGAGGCCTGGACCAGGGGGGCTTCCGGTTCAGGGTTTGGGGTTTAGGGTTTAGGGTTCAGGGTTTAGGGTTTAGGGTTCTGGGTTCAAGGTTTAAGTAAGGTTTAGGGTTACCTTAACCCTAAATAACCTACCTTTTTAAGGACTTATATAAAGAATTCATAAAAAGGAACCCTTAAAAAGGAGGTTCTTTAGGGTCCAGGTAGGGTTAGGGTGCAATGCCCCTTTGTATGTAGTCTTCTAGGGAAAGCTCCAGGCGAAGATAGCTAGAAGAGACGCGTACCTTGCATTTTCCTGTGTGCAGGACATCCAAATTGTTCCAAAAAACCCTAAACCCTGTAACCCTAACATGGTAGTGGCTCGGAGGCGGCTTTGAAAGGCAGGCCTTGCGATGCTGTGTAGATGTTTGTTGTTTCTGGGGCACAGCAGCCGCACTTTGGTGGCTCGGGGCTCAGGGCTAATATAGGGTTCTATATCCTCTCAAAGTCCATGCACACCTGTACCATGATATGGCCCTAAATCATACCGTAGAGTAGTCATGAAATCCCCTATTTTAGGTTTGAGGGTTTGAGGGGTGTGGATTTAGAGACCGGATTCGGCATTCCGTGTTGTTTGGCCGTTTGGTTCGTGGCTTCGGGAACCCGGTGAGCATCAGCTATGAAACTCTAAATAAAAAGTGCTGTAGGGGTCCCTATAAAAGGTTTCCTACTACCTATGTTAACTTGAACTTAGGGTTTAGGCTGGGGGGGGGCATGACTTTACTGCTTCTACATTGTCTCAGCCTAGATCATCCCTGAACCCGAAACCCATAAAAACCTATAACCACTGCGATAAAAAGGACAACATTTCTTGTCTGATGGACACCACAATATCCCGCCTCAGACCCTAAGCCTCTAAAGCCTAAACCCTTACAGACCCTATACCCGAAGCCTCAGCTATGCTGCCTGGCAAAGGCTTGGTGGTTTTGGAAGGGTTTTGGGGTGAATTGCTTCAAGTTGGATGGAGAACACGAAAGACAGGCCGTTTTTTTCATGTGGAACAAAATGTTCTGAAGCTCCTCCCGTTTCCTGGGTCCTTGTTGGATACAATTTGACGTTTGTGTTTAAGCCCAATAAGGATTAGACATGATGATTTTTAATATATCCCCAACAAGGAACCAGTTTCCTGTTTCTTTTGTGTGACTTTGTGCTGGTCCGGAAAATCTGCAATCCCAGACCCTGAAACCGAAACATCGACGGTCCAGACCACGAAGCCACAAACCCCTGGCCCCAGAACACACCTCGGATAGGATTCTGCAACTTTAGAATCATGCACCTGCCCTAAGCCTTTGCACCTTGTAAACCCTAAGCCCCCAACCCGGAGCCGCAAACTGTACCCAGACCACCGAAAGTAGATCCCTTGGGTTCCCTTATAAAGGGTTCCTTTAAGGGATCTATAGGCTTTAGGGTATAGGGAGGATGTAGAAAGCATATGCTGGTAAAGAAGAGCAACACTTAGACAAGCTGAGGTAGCGTTAACTCGGAGCTCCCCACCACGACGCAGACCCCAAAGAGAAACACATAACCCAGAAAGCCTCCAAAAGGGCCTCAGTGAAAACTCAAAGGGGTTTAGGATTTAGGGCTTAGGGGTTCAGGGTTTAGGGATTAGAACACATGGGTAGTTCTCTAAATTAGGGTCTTCTATAGGGTCCTGCTAAAAACGTACCGTGCATTTTTTTTTGGGGGGGGGGACCTGCAAAGGGACGCTTCTTTAGAGGACTGCCCCGTATGGCGTGAAAACCCTTAAACCCCTAAACCCTAAAACACCAAACCCGAATCACCTAATCCCGACCTGTAAACCCTTATAAACTTGTAAACCCTAAACCCCTAAACCCTAAACCCTAAACCACTAAACCCCTATACCCTAAATCCCTACACCCTAAACCGCTAAACCCTAAACCCCTAAACCCCTAAACCCTACACCAGGCACTCCGCCGACTGCCGGCGCCCCCTGCTTTCGACCACGTCGTCGACTGTGGAGCAGGCTGCTCGGGTTACCTTGGTTTTTGGTTTGTGGGTTTAGGGTTTAGTCCATAGGGTTTAGGGGTTTAGGGTTTTGGGTTTAGGGGTTTCGGGTTTAACTAGGGATTTCGGGGTCCAAACCACGGGGCTGGTGTGGGATTCAGGGAAGTGTTTGACAGTTGAAGTTATCATTACGTTGTGTGTTCAGGTGTTCAGTTTTCAGAGAGGTCGGGGTCAGTAGTTTCGCGATGAAGAGGGTTGAGACACATCCAGCATCAGTAAAATAGTAGGGGTTGCACCCCAACAGAGCGATCGAGACGTTGGAGAAACTCCGAAAGCGCGCGCCGGTGTAACAATAAACCTTTGGGCAGCCGTTTAAAAACCTTGCTAGAGCCCTGATAAAACCCTTGACCAAACCTGTATAGAGCCACATACAACCTCTGATAACAGCCCTTCTGAAGCCCTTAACCCTAAGCCCCAAACAAGCATAACCCTACAAACACCGCCGTGGACAGGAGTTGGGCGGGCTGCTCGGACGAGGAATTCAAGGCTCAGCTCAAGGAATCGAAAGCTTTTCAAAGCTTCAACCCCGTACATCCTCAACAGGGGTTTAGGGTTTAAGGGTTTAGGGTTTAAGGGCTTAGGGTTTAGGGGTTCAAGGGTTTAGGGCTTAAGAGCGACATAAACTAATTCAGCCCTAGACCCGAAAGTTCGGGGTTTCGGGCTGAATAGTTTATGTCGCTGGTAGTGCTTCCCGCAAACTTTGGGGGAAGGGAATGAGGCAGGCAGTCAGAGCATGGCAAACGCGACGATCCATGTCGCACGTGTCGAAGGGTTCATGTAGCGCACATTATTTTCATCCCGTCTTGCCTTGCCTCGGGCCCAACAACTAGTATGTCCTCCATCGTGTCCAATGAGTTCGCCGTAGTGCAGTCAGGCAGTCAACTTTTGTGTTGTTATCTTACTCTAAACCCTAAACCCTAAACCCTAAACCCTAAACCCTAAACCTTGACGGATTTGCAGCTGGCCCAACAAGGATCGGGACCAGGATGCCCACACGACAACCCTGAAACTGTAAACCCGCCTCATCTGTTCAAGCCGCCCAAAACCCTTTTAGGGGGGGGGGGGGGGTTTAGGGGTTTAGGGTTTAGGGTTTAGGGTTTTCTAACCCCCCTTACCTTCAATTCTCGACTAGTAGTGTGCTCCCCTGTCCCCAAGACTATATGTGTTCTCGTCTCCTTCGGCTAAGGTGTCAGAGGCACTGCTTCTGGGCAGCTTTGAAAACCTCGATTTGGTTGCCACTTTGCTGCTGCAGTGGGCAGGGACAGGGCCTCGAGGTTCCAATAGCCTTTAGGGGTCCCTTTTAGGTCCCTGAAAAAAGGGATCTACAAAGGTTTCTATAGGGGGTACTGTAAGGATTCTATATGGGTTGTTCTCTAAATTAGGGTCCCCTTTTAGGTACCGAGATAGTACGGCACCATTATAAAAAGGGCTTCAAAAGGGGCCCTAACTTAGAGAACTACTCTCGTGTATGTGTATACATGAGGCGGAAGGCCATACAAATTTCAAGACATCTACACAATCGGACAGACATGGACAGAATTGTCGGCGGCATTCGCTTTTGTACCCAAGAGTGTTGGCGATTGGGCAAATACCTACCCTACCAAACGGACCACTGCACTGTTGCATTTTCGGGAATGTTTTCAGGAACCTGCACCACACACGACACCACAGCCGGCAGTGTTCCAAAAGCACCGAATGCCAAAGCCAAGCCCTTAAAGCCCCAACCCCCAGATCTCATCCTACCCAAGATAATCACAAAAAAGCAAGAAACAAAGCAGAAAACACTAAACCTGAATATCCTACAAACGTTACAGCAGAAAGATCCCCCCAAAAAAGGTGTGTGTGTACATATATATATATGTATGTATATGTATATATGTATGTATGTATATATATACACATACATATGAATGTCTGTATATGTGTATATATATATATACGTACCTAAACCCAAGAAGGACAAAGCCACTACATCTCGAGGAGCCCTGCAAGCCTTTGCTTGCAGAAGCGATGAAACGCCTAAAGGGCCGACAGAACGTTCGCCCTTTGGCGGAGTTCGTTGGGATTTCGGCTTATGGCCTAGGGATGACGGAGTGAGGGGTTATCTAGGATTTACAAGCTTTCGGATTTAGGGTTTAGGGTATAGTTGGACTGTATACTATAAGGGCAGGGTATGACTCTGTAAATAGTGATTACAGCTTACGGTTCGGGGTTTGGGCCTTGTAGGCCTTGGTTCGTATGTGCAACCAGTTGTGTCAGGGGTTCCCAATATGAAGCCCGGGATCTCTGGCAATCAGAATATATAATGCTGATGGACCAACATCGACAAACATATTAAATCCATTGTTGGCTTTGGCACCCTAAACAGGTGAGCAATGGCATAGTTCTCATCATAGACGATGCAGGAGTGTATAAAGGGCGAGTAGGACCATGGATCCGTGCACCTTACCCATAGGCCCCTAAGTAGTTCCTTTTTGGACCCTAAGCCCTAAACCCCTAAACCCTAAACCCTAAGCGCCCAAACCCTAAACCTATGAAGCCCCAGAAGACGTAAAAAGGAAGCCTGAGTCCGGACTTCTGCTGCACTGCAAGCCCTGAAGCCCTGAAGCTCTGAAGCGAATGCAGCACGTGCATTGTCAAAGCTTAGGGGTTCAAAGTAGGGTTTAGGTTGTAGTAGGGGTTCAGAATAGGGTTTAGGTTTTAGTAGGGGTTCAGAATAGGGTTTAGGTTTTAGTGTTTAGGTTTAGGGGTTTAGGGGTTTCGGGTTCAGAGTTTAGGGTTCTATACATCCGAGATCCCCCCCCCGACAGGATTGGAATAGTAAAACAGCACCATGTCGAAATGCAGCACTAACCTAAGCGTAATAGCTGCGTTAGCATTACCAATAATGTCAAGAGCTGGCCCTCCTGGCTGGACTTCGTCGCAAAAGTTTGCCTACCCATAGGCCCCTAAGTAGTTCCTTTTTATGGTTTATCTTCTATATTTAGAATCCTACAAGGTAATCCCAAAAAGTTAGGGGCCTATGGGTAGTTTGTCCTGTTGCTAGACTTGGCCGCAATACCGAATCCGAAGCTGCGACTAAAAGCCTCAAGCCCCAAAGCTCCTCCTCCGGGGATGAGCCGGGTGTCTGAAGCTTCCAAAGTAGAGTTACCTTCCTCGCGGGTCCGTAGAGTTGTATCCAAGTTTATTTGGGGCGAAAAGTTGTAGTCCACCCAAACTGCACAAACTCAAGAGCCCAGGCTTCAATCCTTGCCCGAAAACAACCTCAAAACACCCAGCCCTAGACCTTAAACCTAACAAGCCCGCAGCCCGAAAAAAAAATTAAAGCCCTGAAACTTGCAAACCTGAATAAAAACGGTTTTTTTCAAACCGTAAACTCCACGCATTCAACTTGGCCCTACCGCCCTAGACTCTAGACCTTCAGCCATAGGCCATCACAAATACACAACACCTCATTTCCCTCGACTTCGACCCTCAAAGCCATCAGGTCACTGTAGAAGACGCAAGAAACATTCATGTGTATATATATATATATAGATGGAGCGAGAGAGAGAAAGAGTCTCGTATTTACGTGCACTGTTAAGTTTGAGTATAAACAGAAACGTACATGTAAATCAGGATATACATACATACATACATACATACATACATACATACACAAGTAGATGTATGCTTATATGTGGATGTTTTACTTCTGATTTGTTTGTATACTTGTTTGTTCTTTACCACAGAGCCCGTAAGGCTTCCTGAGCCAGCCGCTGCAAGACTGGGATCCCCCGCCTGGACGCTACAGTGCAGCCCGGTCCCACACGAAGGGCTAGGGCCACACTGTCGGGGATTTTTTTAGGGTTCGGGGTTTAGGGTGTGTTTAGGGTTTAGGGTTTGGGGTTTGTTCCTGAGTAGTGCCCTTTTGCCCTTTTTGTTGCAGGGCGCCCTTCTTAAAGCCGAATATTAAGAAAATGGGTATCCTTATTACTAAGGCTACTAAGGGGTCACTCAGGAACCTAGGAAGATTACAGAACTTGGATTCAGGATCATATCCAACAGTAGCATCAAGCCACACTTGGCGCGGCAACGTTTGCAAAACATTGCGATGCTTGTTGTCATAGTAGTAGCAGCAGCAGGAATAGGAGTGGTAGCAGTGGGGGTCGCCATAGTGGGAGTAGTTAACTATGATATATTTCTCTCGAATGACCGTAATCTTTGAGTAAGGCGCAAAGGATGCTCGGAGGCCGGGCCGCAGTAGAAGGCTTGTGCCGGGTTGCTCTGGGATTCAGGGTTTCAAGGTGGGGACTTACGGTGCGAGTGTTTCAGGGTCTCCCTTTCCTGAGGTAACTCCAGAGCATTAGTAGCAGAAAGCCCAGGTGATTTGGCTGCAGTGGGTACTTCTTCATCTCACGGACAAAGACTTCGTGGGCCTTTTGACAAGGTGCTCAGCTGTTTGCGGGCTTGGGATATGAGACTGGTTCAATGTGCTTCACTTTGGGTTGCTAGTATGCCAGAACTTGTCTCACTTGTTGCTACTGATTTTTACCTGTCTTGTAGGTATCGGTTCCGTCTGATGGCAGGTAGCTAGTCTCCCACCATCTTCATGTCTTCTAGAGGTAGACTAAGACTATGGCGTGAGTCCTGTCCTACGCTGCATTGCTGAAGTGAAAGCCTCGAATTGACTAGGCCACCAGACTAGTGATGGCTCCGTTCCTAACCCTACTGTACACCTTGAACTGACAGACTGACGGACTCGCGTTAACGTCCGACGGTCCTGAGCGACTAAGAGCAAAGGCTCAAAAGTTGCGCTGCTACAGCACAACAGCTCGACGATGCAAGGTGAAACACAAGGCCTCCCCGAGCTCGACCCCATCGACAGGAGGGAGCTCAGGCAGAGCAACAAACGTCAACAACCGAGACAGCGGTTGCCCCTGACAGCACGCGACAAAGACCGGCAACACCACTGTCAGGAAAAGAGCTCTACGTTGAGCGGACCCCAGTACGGGGAAACCACGCAGGAAAGCCTGGTTGCAGTCAGTGAAACCGAAGCCAGTGAGCCCAGACGAAAGGAGCCTCCCTGCACCCACAACAGTTGTGTCACAGCAAGTGCTCACCGTGTCTCGCATGCAGCCAGAAAACGAGAGGAAGGGCCCACTGCGTAACCCACACGTGCCGCACCGGAGCCTTCCTTCGCCATAAACGGAGCACCGCACGAGTTGTGTTCACAGCAGTTCGCCAAGCACTCAGTGAAAACGGAAGGAAGGAACCAAGGCGAGCAGAGGTTCGTTCGCCAACAACAGGAGTGCCACAGAGAGTGTGTTCACACTTTTTCCATGCAGTCGGTGAAAACGGAATGTAAGGCTTTCATCGACGGCCAGCATTGACCGTCTTGTAGCAAAACAAGTTCAGAGAGTGTCGTGAAACTCGTACTCGACTGGTCGGGGACAAAGCTGCGAACAGCAGGAAGACGGAGTTGAAAGGGTGGCCAGCCCAGACAAAAGGCTTAAAGGGAACCTGCTGCTGAGTAGAGCAGTAGGCGCTACGCAGCCACATCAACTGGTGCGTCAATCTGCCAAGAAGGCAAGCAAAGCTTGGCGTCGGGAAGCAGCGAAGAGGGTGGAACAACGAGACGTGAGACCACCTTCACTCGCCTCCAGCCTCGACGACTTACACCTGGAACCCTAAAGCCTAATCCCGATTATCTTGAACCCTAAAGCCTACAAGGCCTTAAGCCCGAAACCTGTCAGCCCAAAACCTTTCGTTGTTGTGGAAAGGTGCCGAGATTGCCTCCGACCCGAGGCACGGAACGGCTAAAGGGTTTATGATGCAGGGTTTAAGGGCAGGGTTCAGGGTTTGGGTTCAGGGAATAGGAATCCGAGTTCAGGCTTTGGGGCTAGCGTTCGGTCGGACAATGCGTTAGTCATCGTCAGTTGCTGTCAACCATCAGGCCAGCACGTTCGGGTTTAAGTCGTGCCGTAAATGTGGATTTTGAAAGCTTCGTTCCGTGGTGGCCCTGCAGGAACACTGCAACGTTGGAAACGGCTATGCGTCTTCGCTCAAATTCGAGCAAATCACAACCCTGAACCGTACCATCCGTGCTGCAAATTTCGCCCATGTAGTTCCTTTCGTTCGATACTTCGTATTATGAGCATTCAAACTTCCACAAATACAGACACCGGGTACGAGGAAATATTGAATATTGCCTATACTATTCTGGGGGTTCCTTATTATAGTTATAGTATAATGGGCCCAAAACCCTAATCGTGTTATTAAGGCCCTACAGTATCCACAAAGCTGCAAGACAGAGCTCTGCTAAAAGACTGAAGGGGTGCATTTTACTGGACCTTCAAGCTTCTCCAGCTCTCGAAACAGCACAGCCTTGGCTTGAATTGCTCCTCAATTGCGGGGTCTAGGGTTTAGGGGTTTAGGGTTTAGGGGTTTAGGGTTTAGGGTTTTAGGGTTTAGCGTTTGGGGTTTAGGGTGTGTTCCTGAAAATGAAAGTTGGAAGTCTTCGGGGCCTCTGAACTGGCCATGTAAAATAAGAACCAGTGTAGCAGCACCAGCAGCAGCAACTGCAGAAGTAACTTTAGTGGGGACAGCAGCCGCTACTGCGGAAGCGAGTGGAAGGACAGGACTAGGAGTAGGAGTGGGGCCAGAGTAGCGACACCAGGAGAAGCAGCAGTGTCAGTAGCACCCGGTGGTGCTAGTCGTGGTCGCAGTCACAGTCGTGCGTCTAACAAGCTGCCTTGGCAATTCTGCTGGACGAGGACGAGGGTGAGGAGAAGGAAGCACAGATATGATCCATTATGTTTGGCGTGTTTCCGTTTCCCTTTGGTCATTCTTATTTTTTATGTATGTAGGGGCAGCTGTTGCTCCCGTTGTCGATGTTCCTTTACAGTAACACGAAGAGTCACCACGTCTATGCGAGGGAGTCATCTGCGTCAAAGACAACCTGGCTCCGAGAAGTGGCTGGGCATCTCGGCTTGTTCAATCCCTCGGAGTCACTACGGTTTAGGGTTTAGGGTTTAGGGGGTTTTCGAAAGGCTCAGGAAAGTGCGATAGGTTTCAGGTTTCGGAAAGGGGGGCCTTGTGACCCCTGTACTCATTCCGGCATGAAACGGAAGCCGACCGTCTGCGAAGAACCCACACACCAGGGAATTGCATCATTTTTGGGGGAGCTTGAAAGGCACAGATCTAGCCATGAGCACTGCGCATGGCATGATCATAGGGAACGGGACCATTGCTGATGTTGATGTTGATGTCGATGTCGCAGTCTCTGTCGATGTCGCTGTGAAGTACTACGGTGGTGAAGATGATGATGACAAAGACGATGAGGATTATGATCGTGAATACGATGCTGCCTAGGAAACGGTTGAGGATGAAGAGGACCAGGACGATGAGTTGAGGAGAAGATCGTGGATCAAGATGAGCATAAAGACGCAGGAGCTCGAGCAGAAACGAGGTTGTTCCGATCATGGCCATACTGATTTTCCGAATTCGATCAAAGTGCCCCGGCGACTCCATTCCCCCACGTTCCATCGCTGGGATCGTGCTTTTGTAGCGTGGGATCCGTGCAAAAGTTGGGCAGCCCATGTCGTGGGCCGCAATATCGAGTTCAGTTTGTTCGTCGTTGAGATCCGGAAAACCAAAGACCCTAACTAAACCCTGCACTCTGAACCCTAAACCCCTATAAACCCTGAACCTATAACCCTAAACTCTTAACCCTAAACCCCTACAAACCCTAAACCTATAACCCTAAAC